CTGCGCGGGGCCGCCCCAGGCTGCGCCCGTCCCCGGGCGGGAGCGCAGTGCGTGTAGAAACGAGGGGCCGCTGGCTGTTGCGTTGTAATCGCATTTATTCACTAATCCAACATTGATTTCATATTAGTTTCCAAAGTAATCAGCGCTCTCGAAGCTGGGTTTTTTAAAGCGAGCGCAAGCAAAAGACAGGACTTGCCCCCAGCTCCCATTAATGAGGTCATTATAAAAGCGTGAACAAGTCTGTTAATGTTTTATTGAAAGCGCATCGTTAACTTGTATCCATCCTTTTCTGAAAGTGGCATTGTGATATTGCTGTCTGTGGCACATCTTACCCAATATAGCCCGAGTTTTCTCCATTATCTGTAACCAAGCAACACTTTCTGAATACCAAAAATTGAAAAGAACCGCTTAGTCTTCAAGAAAGTCCTCAATAATAGTGGAAAAGAACAAAGATCCAGGAGACAACAAAATGCCACAGGGGTGACTTTTCATGAGCAATTATCTCTCATTAATCAGAAGAACAGCTGCAATATTAATTTTCTCTCTTTCTTCCTCTCTTTTCACAGTCCCCAACATTTGAATAATCATAAATTTTGATTTCATGGAGTAGCAACATTGCTAGTGACTTTGAGACACAAGCTACCTACACAAGGCGCGCGCTTTGCAACTAGCTCTTATTTTAAGCCTGCCAAAGAATAAAGTGAGGAACAGAAAAGAGAGAAAAAGGTTGGGTTAGGTTGTTCCCCCCTGCTTCCCTCGAGCATGGATTAAACCAGGGGACTGTCCCCGCGGCAGCCCTTTCCCTCCACCCCTGCCTTTTTCGCTGATGGAAAGTAACAGGCGAATGTACCAAGTGTCTGCACTAGCTTAAAGCGTGGGAGTTTCAACAACCTCGCTGTCCATTTAACTTCCAAACATGAAGCCAAGCGTTGTAGATCTGTCCAAAGAGACAATCTTTGGGCGTAACATGCATTGTAAGACATCAAAAGGCCCTGGCGTTATATGCACTAAGAAGTGCATTCAGCAAGAAGGGTGCAATGCCTCTCTTTTCAGGGTCTCAGGCGCTGATTGTTTAACAAGCGATGTCGCCGCAGCAAGAAAACCGCGCTCCTCCAAAGATTAGGATGTAACACTAAAACTCGCCTTTTGGATTTCAAAGAATCTCATTAGGGGCAGGGGCTGGCGACCGCTACGCTGGAAAAGACGTGCATTAGGCATGGGAGAGGGCGAGCACAGTGCTGGCTACTTAGCTTCTCGCTGCCCAGGGCACAGGGCAAAACCGAGGCTTCTGCAGCGCCCAGGAGCTGGGACACAGCTTTGGGCTCGCAGCTTCTCCCCTGTCCCTTGCTGGGAAGTGAGACTCCACCACCCCTCCACCTCTCAGGGCACCCAAATTTCTCTCGGCGGCCCCGGCAGGGAGACACTTGCGGCTCCGCACAGGCCGGCTCGCAGGCAGACGCTTCTCCCCGGAGACCTGCTCGCAGCCAGGCAGCGACTAACGAGTTCACGCAAAGGATTTGCGGGCTGCCTGCATGCTAAGGGGTGGGGGGGAGGTCTCGTAACCACCGCCCCGCAGATGCAGCGCCGGTCCACATTCCCCAATGCGCTTCCCTTTTTGGGGGGTGATTTCCTCCGCCTCCAGCCCGTTTCCCGGGCATGAATTACCTCAGGTCAATTTTGCACGGCATGATTCCTCCCCGGGAAGGAGCATGGCTGAGAGACCTGCAGAGCCACCGCACACTCCTCCCTCTCCTGTCCCTCTCCTGAGGAGAAAGGACGGGCGCCCGGCTCCCCTTCTCCGCAGCTGCCGAGCCCCTCTTGTCCCTTAAGCGAGTGCCGGTAGCGGCGACGCAGGATCCTGCCGGAGCGCGGAGTGCTGCTTTCCTCTCCTCTCTTGCTGGGAGAGAAACCTGCCTCCTCTTTCACCCTCTCGTACCCCCGGGAGAAATCGCATTGCTCTTGCTGCACTTCTTGGGTGCTTGTCACCCAGATCTTTTTGTATCTGAATTGAATTAAACATCCATATGAGTCCTTTGAGATGGCTGCAATCACTCACATTTGAGTGACTGCTTCAAAACTGCCTCAGCAGCAGCCTTCAGTGTACTCTATTTCTTCATGGCCTTATTCTGTCTTAAATCGTCACCGTGCAGGCCTACTATGATAACTTAGATAACTTCTGTTTACTCTAACCTGACAATCAATGAACAACAGGCCTTATTCTGCTATTGCTTCTTACTGGGAGTAGGAATGTTCATTATTTGTTTTGCAAGGTTCTTGAAAGACTCAGATCTGTACTTAGATATGTGGGCCTAAATCCTTCTTCTCTTCCTCCTCAACTGTCTTGAAAAGAGTATTAGCTCATTGATGAATTCTCCTCAGTGTCTGGATGCAAAGGAAGCTTCTTTTTTGGACCTGCTCATGGTAGCGGAAAAGTCTACAATGGAGAGTCTGTACTGTCCTCCCGCAAGAGACACTGGGGAGGAGACAAATGAGGAAAAGTCTAGCGAGATTATTGGTCTCTGCAGTCTTGTCTGGTGCTTCTCTGAGCCTGGCTTTACCTGGAACTCTTTAGACATGGGGCAACACCACGCGAGACACAGCAGTCTGGGCCCTGCTTTCAGTAACGGCCTTTGTTCAGAGTTCCTGCAGCTAAAACCATTGGTCACTTGCAGATGACAAGTCTGAGGGAAAATTGTGCTGGCCTAACTTTAAAGGGAATAAAGTTAAACCTCTGCAACGGCATCAGTGGAGGTTAATAGCAGGAGATGAAGCTGAAACTCCAAACTCATTTGAGTCAGCATGGGTATTCAAAACGCTGTCTGTGGACTGTGGAACATGCCTGTCTTGAACAGTTTTGCTTTGCACATTGATGCGTCAGAAAGTAACATACGAGAGTGACGCTTTGTGGTAATTCAGGCAATGATCCAACAAAGGCCATGAGCTTCTGAGTGATACTGAGCATACAGCTATTTCATTTCCATCCTTGAAATTCCATCCTCATGCATCTCCATCCTTAGAAGTTGAGGTTAGGTTGAAGCAATCTGCTTGTCAGTGACCAAAAAGCAGAATTTGAATTTGCTTCCAGGGGAAATACTGCTTTCTTAGCCAGATTAACACGGATGCATTATGAGATAAACAGCTTGAGAGAAAAATAAGGTGGTCCTCAAACATATTTCATTAAAGAAATATATATTTCATTATAGGAGCTGTCTGAATTTTAGTCTGAATATTGTATGAATTTTGAGTTCACCTCGTCTAACCTAAACAAATAAAATGATTATCCTTTCTTTCCTTTTTTATGGATCAAATGCATGGATATAGGATAGT